AAAGAAAAATCTGCTAGAGTATATCAAGTGAATATATTATGACAGATTAATTTTCTAATGACACAACAGCAGACCCGTGTAAAATATTCTGTTATTTCCATAAAGTGATTTGTTTGATACCCAGCAGACTGAAAGAAATGTCCACAACATTAAAATGAATGGTGCTTCAATTACCAAATGTAAAAGTAGACTATTTAAATCTTTTCAGATATTTGTCTTAGTTTCATCATGATAAAGCTATTACATTACTATATAACAAGTCTACAAAGTCTTTTAGAATCACACATTTACTCAATAGCTTTCAGGCTAATCAAAGTTAAAGAAAAATTTCCAAAATGATTCCATTAACACAACCAGTTGCTTACATTAATACATAACTTAAAAGAAAAATCAATTCTATTGAAATCTTTGATACTAAACAAAATATATACTACCTTATGATAATGTGAAAGTTTAGAGATTCTGGAAGTAATAACTTGGTGAAAACCAACTATACTAGTTTTACTCTCACAACACCTACATTTTTTTTTATACTGATAGGTGGTAAAATTATCAGTTAAATTACTAACAAAAACAGTAAAATAAATCTTTTTTTTTAGGGGGGGGGGACTAAGTAAACAATGTAATTTATTAAAATCTCATGAAAAGAGTGCACAGGTAGTTGTAAAATGAAAATTACAATACAAAAATAGTTTTCTTTTAGACAACTGAACAAAAGACTTATTTCCTGACTATTATTTTTTATATTTATCTCATATATCAGTATTCGGTCCTAATAGGATAGATATTTTCAACCCAAAAACTACTCTGACAAGGCAGCAACATTAATTTAAAAAAAAAGAGTAGCGGTTCAGAAACAAACACTACAGTTACAAATATCTTAAATTTTACTACAAATTCAAAAAGATCACAAAAACTGGCATGAACACTATTAAGCTTTCCATAAAAAAGTGATTTTTCTAATTGTTATTTCTATGGATATGTTTAAAAATGAAACAGAAAACAATGAAGTAGAAAGCTGACCCACACAGTTTTATGAAACTAATATCTAGAATTTCATGCAGCTTCCCTAAACAAGTTTCAACTGAGACTAACTAAAGCATTAATATACAAAAACCAAACGTGATGTGATATGATTTGATGTGA